TCGTAGCTGCGCTAAACCTAAACAGTAACAAATTTTTCAAGCAGCTATCGAATTCATTGGAAGGCCGGTGATGGTACCTTTGGGATTCTTTAGATTTTAAGATAATTTGACAGATTTTATGGAAATAGGAAGAAAAAGCTAGACCTGCAAAAATCAAAGCAAATTTGTCTTTCGGCGAAAATCCTCCTTTTATGCGTTTTTTGCATCTATGCAATACAGAAAACGCATATTGATGAGGAGTTATGTGTATGTTTGTGTGTGCGTCTGTACAGATTTTTCATCTCAAGACCTGTAAAAGCTACAAGGCTGAAACTTTAGGGACTTGATCTACATGCACGTACGGGCCCCAGTCTCCAAAACGGGCGTTCTCGCCCACGTGGTACCCAAGTACGGGCCTGCCTAAGTTTTTTATGGACAGGGTGTTAACTCGGGAACCAGAAATGCTAGAAAACTGAAATTTTAAGGGAACATTCCCTGTCCATGTAAGTTTCAGTGAGCTCGAACCCAGCCCCCGGGTATGCGTGGTACCCACGTACGGGCTCGTGGAAGTTTTCGGGTAAGTTGTTAACTCGGGGACCTGAGAAGCTAGAAGGCTGGTAGTTTAAAGGGATGTTTCCTGACAGTCCTGGCGACTAGTCTCAGTTCTTTTAACTAGAAGCATCTGCCGAAAAAACCGGTGCCGGTAGCAACAAAAACTGTGGAGAACTATGCAAAAAACGCATCTTCGCACCAGCAGCCGGTACGTTGGCCAGTTATTTATTATTGTAATGCAAATATGCCTGTATTCTTTGAGACATTGGTGCCTTGACAATTTTAGACGAATCAGTAAAACCGCAATGATCATAGAGTGGAATATAGGATGTTAACTGATGAAATCTAAGGCAATTTTTATAGCACAGTGACTCCCCGAACGCATTATCAGCGAAAAACTGCTGGATTACGGCAGGTCGTACAGGCATCAGGCCCGATCTGTCGCATGTAAATGTGTTTGCGGTATAAAAATAGCGCGGGATAATGTAGTTCTACGAATAACAGGCATAGCTTGATGATAGGCTAACAGTTTGCGAGATTAGAAGATTTTTTTTTAAACAAATTATAAGTTGCAGTTGTCAC